CCTTACAATTGTTGTGTCACAATGCAATTCAGTTTCCAATAAAACTGACAATGTTAAGTTTCATAAATTCCCATTAAATTAAACTTTACAAAAACGATGGTTAATCGTTATCAGGTCTGAAAAAAATATTAGCAAGCACACAAAAATCTGTTCCAGGCAATTTTCAAATGAAAGTTATACCGTCTTGTTTTTTTAGGACAATGGAAGATCCTTAAAAAACATGAAGTACCTACAATAAATTTACAAAAGGAACGTTGTAGATTCAAATGAATGACTCTACGAGGAGTAATAGATATAGAAAAATACTTTGTGCAGCAGTATTGCCACCAAACAAACAAAAAGACCAAACAGAAACAGAATTATTTCAAACAGTTAAGAATGATACAAAAAAGTGTGGTTCAACAGAGACACCTGCTAACAAAAAAATCAGAGAATTTAAAAACATGTATTACAACTCAAACTGTGATAACACGGAATAAACGTCAATTCATTTTGAATGACTTCTTGTCAGAAGAAACTGTTGATAACACAAAAAAATGAACTGTTAATAACGCTTATGAAATTAAGCCTGAATTTGTTTTATTCTACATTAAAGCATTTTTTTGCAGTAGACATTCAAACTGTCTGAAAAATATTTGTTAAGTGGACCAAGCATCTTTACACTTGCTTCAAAAAAAATTAACTTTTGGAACATTGCAACAACTTGTGAAAACCAGTGCAAATTATCTGGACCGTACAACATATTCTATATATTATGGAACCAATACCTTTAAAATACTAATAGCATGATCTGAAAAAGGTGAAATTATATATTATGTATATGATATTTTTGGAGGCAGTATTTCAGATAGTAAAATTACAGTGCGGAACTTAGAACTTATCAAAGAACGAGAATTTATTTTAGCGGTCAGGGGTTTTAATATATAAGATCTTTTAGAGGAAAAAGGGAAAAAATATACCACCATTTAAAAAAGGAGCTCAGTTAACAGAAGAAATAATAAAAACAAGGACTGTTGCCAATCGTAGAATCATCGTTAAAAATATTATTCTTCTTCTTGTAGTTCCTTCTCCTAAGGGAGGTTGCCTATCATCACAGCTATTCGTACTTTATTGGTGGCTGCTCTGAAAAGATCTACTGAGCTGCAACTATACCACTCTTTTAGGTTTCTTAGCTAGGAAATTCTTCGTCTTCCTATGGATCTTTTACCCTTGATTTTACCTTGCATTACGAACCTTAATATCTCATATTTCGCACCTCTGGTAATGTGGCATAAATATTCCAGCTTTCTTGTTTTGATGTGCTTTATCACCTCGAAATCCCTTTAAAGCCTTCTTAATACTTCTGCATTTGAAACTCTTTAGGTCCATGGTATTTTCAAAATCCTTTTAAAAGCACCACATCTTAAATGATTCCAACTTCTTTATATTATCCACTTTTAGTGTGCAGTTGTCCATTCCATACAACAAAGTCGAGAACACGTAGCACCTTAAGACTCTTACCCTCAACTCCAGAGGAATGCTTGAATTTTCATTTTTTTTAATGCTTGTCTTATAATAATTTCAATGCTTGCCCTTATTTCTCTACCTTGGTCATTGTTTTCATTTATCCAGGTTCCCAGATATTTGTAATTATTCACTCTTTCTACTTGTTTGCCCTCGATATCTAGCCTTCCTACTGTATGTTGCTTAGAAATAATCATATATACTTGATTTTTTTAACGTTCATTTGTAAAAGTCCATATTTGATACTGACTTGATGTAATCTATTTACTAAGCGTTGCAGTGCTACTAGACTGTCTGCAAAAACAGCGGTGTCGTCTGCGACTCTTATGTTGTTCAAGATTTTTCCGTTTTAATATACTGTTAAAAATATTATAGGATTTTCAAAAAAATATAAAATACTTAAAGATAGCATTTCTTCCTAATTATTCCTATATATAAATGAAATAATTTATAACTGTTTTAGGATTTGTAATTTTAAAAATAGCATAAATAACACTTGCAAATTATTTTCCTATCTATAGATCTACCTATATTGATCAATTAAAATTTCTGGTAGGATAGCACTTATTTTTGTTATTAGTTTTGCATATTATATTATTTGTGACTTGTTACTATTTTTTTGTCAACTATAATTTGTTTTAAACTTGAAAAATATAATACTTAAACAAGATTTAATTTGCTTATTTCGATAGTTAACTATGAGACAGAAAATAAAAAACAAATTTTTAAATTAAAATATCCATTATGCAAAAATGTTCAAGCTAAACATTAAATAACTCACTTATTTCACAAATTTTAAACACTGTGAAACTATAGCTGAAAATTTGCAAAAATGTATTAAAATGAATTGAGGAATAGTATGAGGTTCTGATTTAATACCAAACCTCGACGTAAGCGCCCCTTACGGATATTTTTTTAACTGACTTATAGCATGTGATCTATTGCGGTATCACTTCAATTATAGAAATAATTATATTTTGCAAATGAACTTCCTTTAACGGGCAATTTCTCACAGTGGACCCGTAACTCTTAAAAAACATGAAAAAAAAAAGATGAAAGTTTAGGGCTTTATTACGATTTAAAGATATTATAGTACAAACGCTTCATATTTTAGTCCTGAAATATAAAATTTAAGTTTAAATTATTATTCAAGAAAAAATTATTCAAGATAAAAGAAGCACTTATTTTCAGTCTTGGGCGATTAGAAAATGAATATTTCTACAGTTGGGCAATAAATTATTATTGTGTATTAGATAAATTGATTTTACTAGTGATAAACCAAAAGTATGAGAAGATTTTGTACTATTTATTCCTACATATTAGTTACTTAACTAATGAAAACATAGAAAAATCTATTTTAGAATATATTACAAAACTTGGATTGGATACGAATTATTGTGTAGGCCAAGGATATGATGTTGGCTCTAATATGGGTAGCAAGTATAAAAGTACCCAAATCAAAATAATTAAGTACATGAGTTGTACCCTTTTTGTAATTTATGTTCAATGTGCCAGTCGCATATTCAATCTTGCTTTGTCAATTATTAGGTCAGTAACTAATATAAAAAGTTGTTTAGATATTACCAATCAAGTAATTAATTTTTTCAGAAAAAATGCTCATGCAAGCAAGACTGTAAAAGATGCAATTAAGTTTACATTCCAGATTGTAAAAAGTAAGGGCTTAGTAGCTTGTGCGAAATTTCACAGAAATTTCTCAATCTGTTTGTGAAAGCTTAGGAACAGCTAGTACATTATGTTCAACAATAGAAAAAGCAATTTCTTGATTTCCCTCTTGGTTTGTGAGGAGATTTTAAGTGTTCATAAGTGTCTCCATTATCCAAATTGTTTCCAATGATTTCGTTACTGTTTTTAAATGTGCCAAATTTATCCCTACTCTAGAAGATTTAAGAAAAAATTTCTGAATTTGAAAAATCCTTATTTCTGCTTCTAGATTGTCTAAAGATATTTGGGTTATTGAGCTTCAAATCCCAAGGATTAATAAGATACAGAGTGGTAGAGATAATCATCCAACAATTTTAGTTGAAGAATATTTTAGATTACGAAGAATATAAACATTCATTTCATGTTTAGACAATCTAATTTCTAGTTTAAAAGAAAGATTCAACAAAAATGAAGACATTTTGATTGTATTTCAAATACTTGGTTTTGCATCCCCAGTTCACAAAGCAATTTTGAAAATAAATGTCTAAAAGAACTGACAGGGGAGTATTTGATATGCTGTAAAAGAATAAGAATGAAGACTGATACAAAAATAGTAGATTTCGGAGTTTTGTGATACAGGTTTTTTCCAATAGACTTCTTAGAATTTGAATTACTATTTCTGTCACTATGACCAGTGTTTTGTGTTCATTTTCAACTTTGTAGCAAGTAAAAACCCATTTGAGTCATAGAACCAATAATGAAAGGCTCTTTGGATGTGCCCTACTGTCAAGTTACTGGAATAGTGAAGTCAATTCAGATACTGAGACATTCAGACAATGGAAAAAAAAGTAGAAAAATCAAATCAATCAATAACTTTGAATGATCCATTTCAATAAATATTTCTATCCTTATGTTACAACATGCTATTATTTTTGGCAACCCAAGAATTCAAATAATGCAATTTAAAAGTAATATATAATATATTAACATTTTAAAAAACATAATTTATAAATATTTAAGTATTTATTATTAAATAGATACTTATATTATTATTCATTTTTGTACAAATACTTTTTCTCATATATCTACATACTTATTCATTAATATTAAATAAAGAAATATTTTACCAGGACCAGCCTATTGTCATCATTTTTGTGTGCAAGTTTTTTTTTATTAATGGCAAACAACTTACTCAAAAAATATATTAAAAAAGTAAAAACAAATTATAAAAATAATTACTTACTTATTAAAAAAATTAAATAATTCGTTGGTGGACTGAATTTCTAACAATGTTTTGTAGGAAGGGATGGAAGGTAAATTTAAAAGAGTGAACGCCAGTGAAATAAAACCCTGGCTACATCACTGGTATTTGCATAAAGAACAGTTGGATTTTAAGACAGTGTTAACAATTTATTCCTTTTATAATCTATAATCTTTTGTATTCTATAAAAAAAAACTGTAGATAGCATGATACATAATTCATGGTGATACTTAAATAATCTGTGTTTAACCAGAAAATACATAAAAATTAACCTTGAGTACTCAATACAATGCATTCATATGTATATCTATGGAACCATGAAAAAATGTATGGACCATGGTGAAAAATAATCTGTTGAAAAATGAACATTGGTTGCCAATCTAACACATTCATGAATCACTAACTGAAGCAGGATGCATTGATATGTTTCAAATTCATAGACTCCAACCCCTAGGCGTTGATTGAAATATTGGATATATTTCCCCTACAATATTTTAATCAACGCCCTAAGGTAAGTATACTAGTACCAATGAATATAGTATGCCATTATATTCCTTGCTAGTACTCTTGTTTGCTAATACTTACCACCTGGATGTGTTTCTCTTTCTTTAAATGACGTAAGTTCATGTTCCTCTTGTTCTATTTCAGTCATTATGGGAAGTTTCTTTAAGGCTGCATTTTCAAATGTATCATGTACACTTTCTTCTAGAGGTTCCTCCTTAATTTCAATTTTACAAATATCCAAACGACCGTCATTGTTATAATATATTTCTGCTTGACATGTCTCATCATTAACTTCTTGTTTTATTTCCATTTGTTTAAACTTTGGTTTTGTTTATCAATGATAATTTAATATGTAAATATTAAATAAACCAAACCTGACATAATGTTCAATAAATAACAGACAGTTAGACACAGACACGACACCTGTCAAACTGTCACCCAACCATTTGTATTATATATTACGTCATTGTATATACTCCATTCGCTTAGCTCGGGCACAGAATAATAAACAAACAGAATACCCACTCTCCACGGAAAATTAAGTACGCGCATCTCCTCCGCGCAGACGTTCCGCCATGTTTTAGGAGGATTTTAAAGAAATTAGTATTGTTTATGTGGTGTGCATGGAAAAATTAACCAGGTTTATTTGACTTACGGTAATCATAGACATACTATACAATTATATTAACATTGTTAAATATAATAACATATATATAATATAATTAAATATAAATATAAACAATTACATAACCACACAAATCATATGTCTGTGTCCTCCTAAAACATGGCGCGCGTGCTGAAAACCTTCAAAGGCGGCATCTGAGAGTGGCCCTTCTGATATGTTTATTATTCTGTGGCTCTGGTACAGAATAATAAACAATCAGAATGTCCACTCTCAGATGCCGCGTTTGAAGTTTTTCAGCACGCGCGCCATGTTTTAGAAGGAAACACGTAACAGACGACTAGCGTCTAGACAGCATACCAACAAATCAGGCAGATCGATATCGATTCATTCAAATAAGAGTTTTTGATCACATCGGAAAATATGATAATCGAATCGTATTTCCTAGTGTGTTTGTCAAATGTCAAAGTCAAATACTTGTGTTTGTTTTGTTAATATAAATCATTACACATTATTTTTAAACTCATTTTTTTTTAAATATGGAATGCCCAACTTGTTGCAAAAAATTATATTGCGCAACATATTAGAAAGTTTCATGGGGAACACCTTGCCCAAAAAGTATACAAAGTTGCTAGTAATTATGCCTTTACTTGTACAGTATGTAAGAAAAATTTCAATGAAAAATCTAATTTAAATCAGCATATGAAAACTCATGATGATATCAGGGTAAATGTCATCGAGCAAAAAGACAATAGAGGGAATGTAAAGGTAGTGGGGGCAAACATATTGTTAGACAGGAAGTGCGATCTTTAGAGGCCACATTAAACAAGGAAAGAGAGTCTCTCTCCTTGTTTGACATCAAATTTAGTTGAGTTATGTTATTGTTTGTCCCAAATGTCACATGAAATCTTATTTATATTGAAGTTTTTTAACAATTGTGTCGCATTTTAGACTCTTATTATTAATAATTAATTAAAACTTGCTCGTCTAAGACACATTCTGAAAAATATTAAATAGCTACTGTTGATAAGTGTCGGAAAATTTAAATTTCGCGCATTCGCATTTCCGGATATGTCCGCCATCAGAGGCCACTTTTTTGGTCTCCTTTTCATAAGGATTAGATTCCCTCTTTTGTCTTATTGCTCGATGGTAAATGTGAAGTCCAAAGAATGGAGAAAACAGTGTTTAAAAACATTATGAGTTACTAATAGATTATAACAGACAACTGAATACCTGTTGGGAGAAATTCCACTGCTTTTTAGGCAATGCATTTTTACCTAAAACACATAGGTAATCTATGTGTTGCAACTAATTTAAATAATTTTAATTCTTCCATTGGTTTAGACGCTAGTTAACAGACGCACGGTTCGTAGACTTACTACGGTTGCCTCTTCCGACTAGGGTGGGGATGCTTGAGTTACGTCCATCGAGCAATAAGACAAAAGAGGGAATCTAATCCTTATAAAAAGGAGAGCAAAAAAGTGGCCTCTGATGGCGGACATATCCGGAAATGCGAATGCGCGAAATTTAAATTTTCCGAGACTTATCAACAGTAGCTATATAATATTTTTCAGGACATTTGGGATAAACAATAACATAACCCAACTAAATTTGATGTCAAACAAGGAGAGAGACTCTCTTTCCTTGTTTAAAGTGGCCTCTAAAGATCGCACTTCCTGTCTAACAATATGTTTGCCCCCACTACCTTTACATTCCCTCTATTGTCTTTTTGCTCGATGGTTACGTCACAGGAGTACACAAGAATACAAAACCCATTTATTCGCGATTGAAACTGAATGTAGAGGGCAGGTCGATTGCAGTGTCATGGCCGATATAAATGGTATAAACAAAAACAAACATAACATTCGAATATTTACCATTGCTTTTCCATGTTTAGTTTGGTTTAAGACAAGTTATTTGTATCATTTAATAATGGAAATTAACCTTAATGATATCTTTGAGTATTGTGGTGACGCAAAGAGTCCATTGGTTGAAGGGGAAGCAGTTTTCAAGTGATGAATTCCTAAATTTTAACTTTAATGTTTCGAACTGGCTTGTGTATTGATGACGATGAATCCTATTTTGTGTATACCTGGGAACCCAGAATATAATATTCTGTGTAATGTTTGCCTTAACGTATAGGGGAAGGGCGGGTAAAATGGCATAGGCGGGCAAAATGGTTTTTTGTTCTCGTAGTCAACCTAACGGTTCTACGTCACCGTAATTCTGGATACTTATTATAAACAGTCGCAACACTGTCCACATTAAGTCTTGTGGACCTAATTTAACGGCCGGCCACGAGATTGGTGTATTTGTAAATAAGTGCTTGTCGAGTTCGATGCGTCAATGTAAGTTTTATTCAATAATTTATTAAATTAAGGTTATAGAGCTTTTTGAATTGACTTTTTGGTAATTATGTTTTATACGCTGCATGAGTCCTTAAATAAAAATTGTGTTTATTTCCATTATTAATTTTTTTCAACTATCATTAGTCGGCAAATACAAAACGGGCAAAATGGCATAGCATTATGGCGGGCAAAATAACATACTATGCCATTTTGCCCGTCTGTTTTTCAGGTTAAATAGTTTTTTTTGCAGATGCTTTATTCATATAAAAGGAAGTCTAACCAAAATAGTTGGAGTGAGGAAGACATGCAAAGAGCTTTGGAGACAGTCCGAAATTCCGAAATGGGTTGACTTAAAGCAAGCAATACATTTCATGTACCGTTCTCAACACTATGACGTCGAGCAGATAATAAAAATAAAATTGCCATTGAAGCAAAAACATTTGGGCGCCCTGGCAACAGTTTTAAACGAAGATATGCAGACTGCAATAGTTGCCCACATTCTGTATCCTGAATCCCGTTCAAAATACCATGATATTCAACATGGACGAATCAGCCTTGACCACCGTCCAAGTTCCGCCAAAAGTCTTTGCTCAGAAAGGAAAAAAATAAGTGGGCTCTATCACGAGCGCAGAAAGGGGTGTACACACAACAGTTGTAGTGTGCATGAGTTCTGGAGGAACTTATCTACCACCATCAATAATTTTCCCCGAAAAAGATTTAACCCACTTTTATATGACGGCGCACCTATAGGAATATTAAAATTGCATAATGAATCAGGATACATGAGGAGATTTGTTCATAAAGTGGATGCAACATTTTATTGACCATGTCAGGCCGAATCCTGCGCAGAAAGCATTATTAATTTTAGACGGACACTCCAGTTATAAAAGCTACGAAGCTTTAGAATTATCTAAACAGAATTCAGTGGTATTACTTTGCCTGCCGGCACACTGCACGCACCGCCTTAAGCCATTGGATGTTGCCTTTTTCGGACCACTCTACCTGGTTCTACACTCTGCCTGGTTCTACTAATAAACCTGACATTGCTTCTACATCTTTACCTGCTGATGTTAATGTTCCTCTAAGAAAATCTACCAAACGTAAATCTGGTCAATACCAAGATGTATTAACCGAGAACCCCTTCCTGAAATATCTCTGCGAAAAAGAAAATGAAAAAAAGCACAAGAAATAAAAAGCAGAAAAGGGGACGTCGTGAAAAGAAAAATAGTCAATGATTTAAGTGATGGAAGACGCATTGTGAACAAAGATAGTCATCAGTTGGAGAGAAAAGGCAAGAGAAATATTGTGACCAGACCAATCCTGAACAATATATCAAGTCATGAAGAAGAACCCTTTAGTATTGATGATGATGAACAAGAGGACTGCGCTTGCATTTACTGCAATGATACGTTTAGTAAGTCCAAATCTAATGAAGGATGGTTAAGATGCCAAATTTGCCAAAACTGGTCACATTCAGAATGTGCTGGACTTCCCAAAAAAGCAAAACAATTTATTTGCGAACTTTGTATGAACTAAAATGTTTAATTTCAATTTTTTTTCTTCGTAAAAATAAAAATTTATAATTATTTTTGTATTTAACACTATTGTTTATGTGTATGCCATTTTGCCCGCACTGGGCGGGCAAAATGGTTTTTTGTTACATTTTGATTTTGATTTTTTTTTAAATAAATCTCTTTGTATGAGTGATTTTTTGTTACTTAGAATAGTAGAAAAATGACCTGGCTATCATTATACATCAAAAGGAATGATTTATCTCTATTTATGTCTCAGATATATGGACAATAAACTAAGTATGCCATCTTGCCCGCCCTTCCCCTATATGCATTATTATACCTTATGTTTTTAATATGTTAATTTTTATTTTATACTATTTTTTGACATATGTAAGTACTTTATTGTATATTAACCATCGAGCAATAAGACAAAAGAGGGAATCTAATCCTTATGAAAAGGAGACCAAAAAAGTGGCCTCTGATGGCGGACATATCCGGAAATGCGAATGCGCAAAATTTAAATTTTCCGACACTTATCAACAGTAGCTATATAATATTTTTTCAGAATGTGTCTTAGACGAGAAAGTTTTAATTAATTATTAATGATAAGAGTCTAAAATGCGACACAATTGTTAAAAAACTTCAATATAAATAAGATTTCATGTGACATTTGGGACAAACAATAACATACCCAACTAAATTTTATGTCAAACAAGGAGAGAGACTCTCTTTCCTTGTTTAATGTGGCCTCTAAAGATCGCACTTCCTGTCTAACAATATGTTTACCCCCACTACCTTTATTTCCTCTATTGTCTTTTTGCTCGAT